TCATTCCGTTGTGCATAGGGTCGCTATCAGTCAGAACTGACTCAATGGTACCTAACAAAAACCACACACACACACACACACACACACACACACACACACACGATCCCTTAAATTAACTGCCATCAAGTTAATTCCTGACTCATAGCAGCCCTAATAAGCAAGGGCAGAACTGTCCCTGTGTATTTCTAAGATTAACTCTTTAAGAGAGTAGAAATTCTTATCTTTCTCCTGTTTTGAGAAATAAAGGAGCTTAAACAAGCAAACTAGGAAGCAGAGATTGAGAAAAATAGATACCAAGCCACAAGGAGATTTCCAAAGAACCCAAAAACAAGTTGTAGAGACAAGAACCTTACCCCAGAGCCCAAAGAGAGAGAAAGCTTCCTCTAGTGTAGGTACCCTGAATTCCAACTTCTGTCTTCTCAACTGAGCAGAATACATCTCTGTGTTTTAAAGCAACTGGCTACTGAGACTTCTACGAAAGCAACACAAGAAAACTAAGAATTTGGTATTGGAAGATTGGGGCGCAACTCTAGCCAAGCTAAACCCCAAACTCACTGCCATCAAATTGATGGTAACTCATAGTGACCCTATAGGACAGGGCAGAACAGCCCCTCAGAGTTTCTGAGACTCTTTGTGGGAAGTAGAAAGCCCTATGGTTTTGAACTGCTGAACTTTCAGTTAGTAGCTCAACTCATAACCGCACCACAGGGCTTCTTTCCAAAACGTGGAGCCAGTTTGGGAATTGAGTTATGAGTAGAGATCTGAAAGAGTTTACGCTGCCTAATAAAAAATCTGGTGGTGCAGTGGGTTACTGATTGGACTGCTGACAGCAAGGTTATCTATTTGAAACCACCACGCATTCATCAGAGAAAGATGAGGCTTTCTTTTTATTTTTAAAAAATCATTTTATTGGAGCCTCATACAACTCATCACAATCCATACATCCATCCATTGTCTCAAGCACATTTGTATGTATGCTGCCATCATCATTTTCAAAGCATTTTCTTTCTACTTGAGCCCTTGGTATCAGCTCCCCCTTTTTTTCCCCTCCCTCCCCCTCCGCCTTTCCGTTATCAACCTTTGATAATTTATAAATTATTTTTTTCATGTCTTGCACTGTCCAATGTCAGACTTTACCCCCTTGTCTGTTGTCCATTCTCCTGGGAGGGGGTTATAGGTAGGTCATTGTGATCAGTTCCCCCTTTCTCCCCACACCATCCCCTTCCCCTCCTGGTATGGAAACTCTCAATATTGGTCCCAAGGAGTGTATCTGTCCTGTATTCCCTGTGTTTCCAGCTCTTTTTTTAAAAAAAAACATTTTATTAGGGGCTCATACAACTGTTATCACAATCCATACACACATCAATTGTGTAAAGCACATTTGTACATCATTCTCAAAACATTTTCTCTCCACTTAAACCCCCGACATTAGG